GCGTCGGGCTCTGTGCTCACAGCTCGGAGCCTGGGACCTGCTTCCGATTCTGTGTCTCCCTCTTGCTCTCTGGCCCCCCCCCCACCCCCACTGCTCATGCTGTGTCTCTCTCTGTGTCTCTCAAAAAATAAGATGTCAAGAAAAGAAACAAAGGTTTGCTCAGCGAGGGGTATTTGAGTTGAGGTGTAAAAGGCGAAGGGAGTTCACTCGTGTTCCGATTATTTACTGCTGCCAAACAAAACTGCCCTCCAACAGGGGCCTGAAGGTTGACAGTCATTCCCTTTGTTCACAAGGCTGGGGGGCGGGCGGGGTTGAGTGGATTCAGGCTCAGGACCTCTCAGTGCCATCAAGGTCAGATGGGGGTTGGCCTGGAGTCGGGTCAAAGGCGTGGTCACTTGCTCTCTGGTGGCTGATGGGGGGCTGGCCAGGACCTCGCACCTCCTCTCCAGGCCGTCTCGCTTCTTCCCAAGCTGGCGGCCTCAGGGCACCGAGGTCCCTTACATGGTGGCTCAGAGCTCCAAAGACCAAGTCCCGAGAGAGCTAAACAAATATCATATTGCCCCCTCTGTGACCGTTCCTCAAAAGTCACACGGAGCCACGCATTAGTTTGCTGGGCTTAAGCTTACAAAGTGTGGCCTAAACCGCGAACATTGATTTATTGTCTCCCCTTATAAATTCTGGAGGGTGGAAGCCCAAGATCCAGGTTTTGATAGGGTAGATCGAGGTGTTGGTAGGGGCACCCTCAGGAGGAAGGGATAATCGGTCCCTGTTTCTCTCCCAGCTTCTGCTGGTTTCCTGGACATTTCTGGTGTTCTTTGCTTCGCTTCCGTCACCCTGAGCTCTGCCCTAATCGTCACAGAATATTCTCCCTTTGTGCGTGTTTGTGTCCAGATACCTGCCTTTCATAAGGACACCCATCATGTTGGATTGAAGGCCCACCCTGCTCCAAAATAACCTCATCTTAACTCACTTAACCACAACGACTTGATTCCAAGTAAGGTTATGTTCTGAGGGGTTGAGGGTTGAGGTGTCAACATAGAAATGTGGGTGGGGAGACGTGATTCAATGAATAACAAATCGCTTCTGCTATAGTCCCCAACCTTCCCAGATTCACAGGGAAAGAACATGGAAACCCAACTCTTTTTTTGTTTTTGTGTTTGAAGTTTATTTATGTATCTTAAGAGAGACAGAGACGGCGCGAGTCGGGGGAGGGGCAGAGAGAGAGAGAATCCCAGTGAGGGGCTCGAACTCGTGAAACTGTGAGATCACGACCTGAGCCGAAACCAAGAGTCAGACACTTAACCTACTGAGCCACTCAGGTGCCCCATAAGCCCAACTCCTTCTTTTAAAAAAATTTTTTTAAGTTTATTTATTTTTGAGAGAGAGAGAACAAGCAGGGAAGGGCAGAGGGAGGGAGACACAGGATCCGAAGCAGGCTCCAGGCTCCGAGCCGTCAGCCCAGAGCCCGACGCGGGGCTCGAACTCACGGACCGCGAGATCGTGACATGAGCTGAAGTGGGACGCTTAACCGACCGGGCCACCCAGGCACCCCCCAAGTTTTTAGATTTTAAGTAAAATGGGGGCACCTGGATGGCTCGGTCAGTTAAGCGTCTGACTTCAGCTCAGGTCACGATCTCACGGTTTGTGAGTTCGAACCCTGCGTCGGGCTCTGGGCTGACCGCTCGGAGCCTGGAGCCTGCTTTGGATCCTGTGTCTCCCTCTGTCTCTGCCTCTCCCCGGCTCGCACTCTGTCTGTCTCTCAGGAATAAATAAAACATTAAAAAAATTTCTTAAATAAATTTCAATACAGTGTACTAATTAAATGAAAATGTATTAATTAAAGTGTGTTACTTATGATTCAAACTTATTAACTACAATTACATGAAAACTGTATTAAGTGAAAACCTATTAACAAATGAAACTTATTAATTAAAATGACATTAGGTTGTACCCTCAAAATTAAATTCACCTGTATTAATTTACGTGCATTGATTACATTTCAATTGAAATTATTGATTGAAATGAAATGAAAACGTGCCAGTTAAATTGAACCTAACATTTAGCAGTTGGATTAAGCTTTGTTACTATTGAAATTAACATTGAGTAAATAAAAATAAAATCTAAGTTAAAATTAACTTTTTTTTTAAGTTTATTTATTTATTTTGAGAGAGACAGAGACAGTGTGAGTAGGGGAGGGGCAGAGAGAGAGGGAGACTGAGAATCTGCAGTCAGTGCAGAACCCGATGCAAGGTTCGAACTCATGAAACCATGAGATCATGACCTGAGCTGAAACCAAGAGTCGGACGCTTAACCAACTGAGCCACCCAGGCGCCCCACTTTTTTCTTTTTTAAGATTTTATTTTGTAAGTAATCTCTACATCCGAGGTAGGGCTTGAACTCACAACCCTGAGCTCAAGAATTGCCGGTTCTACTGACTCAGTCAGCTAGGCACTCCAGCTTTTAAAGTATTAAATGAAATAATATTTTCCATAGATCGTATCACACAATTACAACTCTACAATTCGAGGAATTAGGGGCGCCTGGGTGGCTCAGTCGGTTAAGCATCTGACTTGGCCCCAGGTCATGATCTCACAGTGTGTGAGTTCAAGCCCCACGTCGGGCTCTGTGCTGACCATGTGGAGCCTGGAGCCCGCTTCGGATTCTGTATCTCCCTCTCTCTCTGCCCCTCCCCTGCTCACACTCTGTCTCTCTCCCTTTCTCAAAAAATAAATAAACGTTAAAAAAAATTTTTTTAGGGGCGCCTGGGTGGCACAGTCACGGTCCATGAGTTCGAGCCCCGCGTCGGGCTCTGGGCTGATGGCTGCTTCCGATTCTGTGCCTCCCTCTCTCTCTGCCCCTCCCCTGCTCACGCTCTGTCTCTCTCTCTCTCTCTCTCTCAAAAACAAATAAACATTAAAGAAATAATAATAATAATAATAATAATAATAATAATAATAATAATATGCTGGGTGATGACGGGAGCTATCCCAAGGTTGATTCTACGTAATTGCGGAGAAGGAGACTCTGGAGCGGGGGCTCAAAATCACCACCTTCCAACAGCTTCTCCCCTGGTGTGACCAAACTTTGCACGAACGACCCCACACGGAATGGCACAGTGGCAAGGTGCCACAGTCCGAGTCTCGTGCCCGGAGACGGTGAATTAACTGAGCAGGCACTGACCTGGGCGTTGGTGTGTTTTAAAGCTCCCCCCAGGTGACCCGAGCGAGCGTGCAGCTCAGGGGTCAAACCTGCAACGAGCAGAGTCTCTCTCTGGGGGATGGGTGGCCCGCTGCTCGGCCTCCTACCTGCCACCGCTTGCCACCCGCGTGCAGACCACCTGCTCTTTCCGACAGGCTGGGACCGTGCTCCTCACCCTGGGATCAAGGTTATCTGTGGTCACCGAACCCTCGGAGAAGGCACCGTACAAGGGGAGGCCGACCCGCCCTTGGGAGAGCAGGTCAGATGTTGCAAGAGGAGTCAATCCGTGAGGACACTGAAAAGGGGGCACCGGAGAAGCGGAAGGAAAACCGTGCCAGGGGAAGCCCCCGGGGAAGCCACACGGCAGGACGCGCTCCAGAAGGAGGGAAGGGGTCCACTCTGACCGCCGGTGTCTCCTCTCCACCACCCTTTCTTCCCCCATCTTCACTTGGCTACTCTCCGCGTCTCACTTTTTTTTTTTTTTTATAAATTTTTTTTTCAACGTTTATTTATTTTTGGGACAGAGAGAGACAGAGCATGAATGGGCGAGGGGCAGAGAGAGAGGGAGACACAGAATCAGAAACAGGCTCCAGGCTCCGAGCCATCAGCCCAGAGCCTGACGCGGGGCTCGAACTCACGGACCGCGAGATCGTGACCTGGCTGAAGTCGGACGCTTAACCGACTGCGCCACCCAGGCGCCCCACCGCGTCTCACTTTTGAATCGCTTCCTTCCAGCACCCTCAGACCCCTCTGGAATGCACACCTGGCCTAACCCCAGCCATCTGCCTTCTCGGGAAGAACCCACACAGCCAGCCCAACAGGTTCGACCTGAACCAGAGAGATCACAGACCTCACACAGGCACAGGGCTTTCTCTAGGTGGCTCTGGTGGCCGCTGGGCTCAAAGGAGGACTGTTGCCTCCCGCACTGCGCCCCCACCTGCCCGCCACCTGTCGACCCTCCCCATACTTCCCTGCGCAAACTGACTGTCAGTCGGGCGGGATGTCCTTGCAGCTCATTCATTCCCAGAGCACCAGCCTGGCATTTTCTCCGCCTTCTGTGCCCACACCCTTCCAACCCCGGCTTCCAGCCACCCCGTTCTCCTTCCCTCCCCTTCCCTCCTTTTGAGGTTCCCGCTTCATCTTTCTCCCCGTCTTTCTCCCTCTCCCTCACCCCCTGGACAACATGGTCCCACACCAGCCGCCGCAGCCCTTTCAAAAAGGCAAACGGGACGGGGCGCCCCGGGGGGCTCAGTCAGTTAAGCGTCCGACCTCGGCTCAGGTCGTGATCTCAGGGTTTGTGGGTTCGAGCCCCACGCTGGGCTCTGTGCTGACAGCTCAGAGCCTGGAGCCTGCTTCGGATTCTGTCTCTCTCTCTCTCTCTCCCTCTCTGCCCCCTCTCCTGCTTGCAACTGGCCATATGGGAGGTGACAGCGGCCTGGACTCCGTTAGTAGGGCCAGAGATGGGGAAGGGTCTGAATAGTAGTCAAATCACTTGCTGTGTAACTAATTCCTCAATATGCATCTCTGATTGTTCCTTGGGGCCGGGGGCCAGGCTTATCCTGGTCCCTGTGCCTCCTACCTAACAGGAATAATGATACAAAAGTTCCAGGTACCGTTCAGAGCCCCCTCACATCCATTCCCTCCTGACAGGCGGATTGTTACAGATGAGGAAACTGAGGCACAGAGAGGAAACTGACTTGCCCGAGGCACACAGCCAGTAGGTGGCAGAGGCGGGATACAAACCCACACAGAGGCCTCATTCCAGAGCCCCGCCCTCTGCAACACCAGACTGGCCGCGGAAAGAAGCCGCCATAAATATCTTTTATTAAGGTGGCAGGGGGAGGGCTGTTGTGGGTCATTCGAGCTCCCTCTCCTTACACCCTTTTGGGGGGTGGGGCGCGGATTTTGTTCCGTTTGCTGTTTTGTTCGATGATGGTGAATGGCCAGCACTTGCAGAATGATCTTTCCTAAGCACGTGCAGCACCAGCCCAGATCTGACAGCTGGGCCCAGGCTCCGACACACCACCTCCGTTCACCTCCGGCTGGACAGTCCCAAAGTACAGCTCCTCGAAATCCAAGTGGGTGCCGTCTCTGAGCACACCTACGACGTTCCTTTTCCAGGCGGAAGGATCCAGGTTCACAGAGACCCTCCCCTCCTTGCCAAAGTCCTTGCGGTTTCCCGGAGAGCCTTCCAGAAAAGAAGAAAGATGCAACCAGGGACACGTGGGTCAAAGCCACCTTAGTGCAGGCGACACGGGCTACTGAGGTCAGTGCTTCCCTCCCTTCCATCAGTACCTATCACCTCTTTTCCCAAAATTCAACGAGATCATCAATCCCTTTAAAACTAAGCCCATCATGGGGCACCTGGGTGGCTCAGTGGTTTAAGCGTTTGACTTCAGCTCAGGTTATGATCTCACAGCACATGGGTTCGAGTCCTGCATCGGGCTCTGTGCTGACAGCTCAGAGCCTGGAGCCTGCTTCGGATTCTGTGTCTCTCTTTCTCTCTGCCACCCCCCACTCCCCCCATTCGCACTCTGTCTCTCTCAAAAATAAACATTAAAACAAATTGTTTTGATTAAAATTAAGACCATTGTGATCTCACGGTTTATGGGTTCGAGCCCCACATTGGGCTCCCTGCTGATGGCACGGAGCCTGCTTTGGATGCTCTCTCTCCCTCTCCCCCTCTCTCTCTCTCTCTCAAAGTAAATAAATGAACTTAAAAAAATAAAATTAAATTAAGACCATTGTTTCTTTACTTAATTGGTGATAGCTCCCAGCTAATACATAGCACAAACTCCAAAGCTGTCATTCTTCGACCATTGTCTCTCTCTCTCTCTCTTTTTTAAAAATGTTTATTTATTTATTTTTGAGAGAGGGAGCGAGGGAGGGGCAGAGACAGAGGGAGAGAGAGGATCTGAAGCAGGTTCTGCACTCTCAGCACAGAGAGCAGGGTTCGAACTCACAAACTGTGAGATCGTGATCTGAGCCAAAGTCAGACACATAACCGACTGAGCCACCCAGGTGCCCCAAACATTGTTTCTTTCTTAAGGGGTTAATCCAGCATCCCTAGAAGGGGGATATATATTGTACTATTAGAAGCAAGATGAGATCCGGATATAGGAGTAAAAGTTTGAAGGGGAAATTAGAAGGAAAGAGAGAATTCTGGATTGCCTTGGTCATTCAACAAATCCGAAAGTACTAGGTGGTGGGGACGCCCACACATTTATCTCAGTTCTTAGTCTGTCCTTTGCATCCGTCAGCTACAGCTGCGTAACAAACCGTCTCAAAATGTGGTGGCTGAAAACAACAGCCATGTTGTTTCCCCACGTGTGTTTGGGTCATCCGGACGGTTTCTGCTAATCTGGACCAGGCTCGGCTGACCTTGGCTGGGCTCACTCATGGGTCTGTCATCCTCTGGCAGGGTAGCTAGAGGCTGGCTGGTCTGGAGTGACTTCAGCTGGGATGACTCAGTTCTTCTCTACCTCTCCCTCACATCCGTCCGGCAAGCTAGCCCAGGCACGTTCTCATGGCGAAGGCAGAGAGGCAGGAGCGGGAGGAGAAACACTCAGACATCGTAAGGCCCGTGAGAGTGATGCTTGCCCTTTTGTTTTTTAAGTGTATTTATTTATTTTGAGAGACAAAAAGAGAGGGAGAGAAAAGCAGGGGAGGGGCAGAGGGAGCGAATCCCAAGCAGGCTCGGCATTATCAGCACAGAGCCCAGTACAGGGCTGCAGCTCACAAACCGAGAGACCGTGAGCAGAGCCGAGATCAAGAGTGGGACGCTTCACTGACTGAGCCACCCAGGCGCCCCTACCCTGGGGTTCTAGAAGAGGATGTCTTTGTTCTGTAGCTCTGTGCCGCAGCGTTTGTGGGGATCGAGGGACACAGTGTCTTTCCCTGCCTCTCCCACGTTCAGAAAGGCGTGACAGAAGACACATGTGGCAAAACGAGGCTGGCAGCAAGCCCTTCGATGAGCGCGGATCGCCTTTGGGCTCAGCCCCCAAATCCATGCTATACCCCCAAAGCTGCCCAGTTCCTCCGGACATGCCAGCAGCCCTGGTTGCCTTCTTGCCCCGCCGCGGCTGCCTCCGGGCCTTTGCCCCTGCTCCTCCCGTCCTCCCTTGTCGCGCAAACTCTATTCATCTTCGAGTTTTAGCTTACAACCGACTTCCCTCAGGGAGTTCACCCCCCAGTCCCCCAAAACCAGGCCAGAGGCCCCCAAAGTAGCATTTGAGATCATTTCCAGGTGACTTATTTTCATGATCAGGCCTTTATTTTAATGCAGGTTAGGGAAAAAAAAAAAAAAGTAACAAGCCTGTCACACCTGTGATGTCAGGACCCTTGGTGCTTCCGAGGAGCCTCAGCGAGCCCCACGGGAACCCATTTAAGGAATTAAGAAGAAGAAAAAAAAAACCACGTTGGTTGAAAGAACACGTTAAAAATATAAACAGTAGAGGCAGTATTCTGCAAAAATCGCGAAATGGCCCTTTGGGAATCCCAGACGCTGAGAAGCCCCTGGGGGCTGGGTTAACCCTGCCTGGCCTCTCAGGTGCTAGGAGCTAATAGCTATCACTTGGGCAATGATTTGGTTTATGTCTGTCTCCCCCACTGGGGTGGGGCAGGGCTGGGCCTGTCCCCGTCACCAGTGTCCCCTGCATCACCGGCACAGGGTGGGGCACAGAGCAGGTGCTCAGGGAATGTGTGCAGGGAACGAACAGATGCTAAGCTGCTCAAGGGTATGGCCTTTCCCCCGCCGGAGGGCATCAGGGAGTCCGGGCAGGGTTTCAATCAGCAATGTCAAGGTTCATCTCCGCTTTAGAAACTCTGGGCTCTCTCTTCCTCCTCTGGGCCCAGAAAACCAATGCCCCCCCTCCCACACTGCCTGTTCCCTTTTCCTATCACACTGTTCTTTATCGTTCTCCTCCTCCTCCAGGAAGCCTTTCTGAACCCCAGGCTGGGTCGGGTAACTGTTCCCGACTCCTACAGCCCCCTGCCTCCCCCATCCCGGCCCTGACTACCCTGGAGGTGAGTCTATATCCTCCAGTGGCCTGGGAGAGCTTCACGAGGTCCCCCCTGGGCTCTCTGTAACCCCTCCAGAGCAGGTGAACTGTCTGGACCTCACTCCCCAGATATCTCCATTCTTTCCCTCCACCTGGCCCCGTCAGTTGATGGATATATGGGTTGTTTTCCCGCCTTTGGCGATTGGGAATGATGCTACCAGGAACATTCCTGCACAAGTTACTTTATTTTCATTTTCTTTTTTTTTTTTTTTTTTTA